AGCTCTGTTAATGAGGAATCAAAAGTGTAGCTCTTACAGTAAGACATCTGTGCTATGCTGAATTAAAATAATGATGTTTATTAATGATATTCAGCAGTGGTATTATATTTTGTGCTGTTCTTATTTCAGGATTACCAATAGTTTCTATTAGCATTTGCATTTCATACAGCAATGGCCAGTCTGTTAAGCAAGATATATATATTTTATATACATAAAAAGCATAAGTAAAATTGTGCTTGAATTCCGTGCTTTCCTTACCTTGTGTTGTTTGTCTAGCCTCTGGTTAACAAATATTAACTTGCTGTGCTAAATTTTTATGCATTATAAAAATCTATATTAGAGGAAAGGCAAGGTTAATAAGATAATTTAAATACAATATTGCACTTTGTTACATACTTCCACAAAATAAGTGTTTTATTATGTATTGGAATGAAAAGCACTATAAAAAATGCGCGCTGAAGGTCTGCTAAGAAACCTGTTCCAAGTGTCACCACTACTTTGATGAAAATATGGCAGGAGTTAAGTTTCACTGCCCACAGTTTTCTTTGACAATGTAGGAATTCAATTTAAGACAAAATAATTGAGTGGATTACATATATGTTTTATATTTCTTCAGTCTGATTATGATTATTTTGGTACTTTTATTTTTTCAGATTGCCAACAATTCAATTACTTGCTCTGATCATTTACGAGATTTTACTTAAAGTTTAAACTTAAACTTAAAGATAGATTAGAAACTGTTGGCGTCTAAATCTAGCTGCAGTTTAAGACATATCTCATTAGTACTTTAACCAAAGAATTCTGAGAAATCTAAATACATTCAGGTGATACAAATGAATTTATAACTGATAGAGATAAATGTACGCTAGACTGCCGGGCCATTTTATAATAAGCACTTTTTTAATTTTATTTTTAATTTAAATTTAGTTTTACGCACAGTCACCTAAGGAATTGCCTGAAATGATAATGCTCAATAGAGTACACATGAACATGTTATTTCAGCTGAAGAAGGATTTTTTAATATCTTAACACACAAATGTATAGGCATATTTTGTTTTATATGAATAGGCGATGTATATGTGCTTTTAAAGGCTACTGATGCAAAAAAATAATAAGCCAGAATATACATTATGAGCAGGTATTTTTTGTGTCAGGGTTCTTTAAAATGGCTGCATGCTGAGGCCTTGCAGCAATCAAGTGCTTCGATCGAGGATTGTCTTGTGAAAGCAGGCAAGTGCGGACTGGGTACAACACTGCTGTAATTTGCTTTTAGCAAATTAGCCTGATGTTTTGAGGTAATTGCTGTGCAACAGTGGCCATTACATGCCAGATCAAGGTTTCATTTTTGGAGGTTTTGTTTGGCCTTTTGTTCTTGTTGGAAAAACAGAAATGTTCGGCACCTGTGGCGATTGCTGTGCTGTGTCAGTACAAGGCTCCATCACTTATCACTGATTTAATCTTTTCCACAAGTTGATAGGTTCCGTGGGAGTTTCAAGGGCCAGCATTAAGCATTAGCCTGAGTATTATGTGAAAGGCATTCCATTGTGTGGAAGACAAAATTGTGTATTTATCACACGGCAACAGATAATTTATTATACTGTTTCAAGTGGGATAAGTAGATGATAGAAACGTGAGCAAAGTCATTTGCACACATAATTAAAAAATGTGCACGTCTTTGATACAGTTTAAGCATTGTACTGTTGCAGAGTTCCAAGTACTTTATGTCGGGAGACAAAATAAGTGACTTTGTGTCACATATTTAGTCTCCAAACGCATGATAGTACAGAAAGTGGTAGTCTGGTGTTATTTTGCCATTATTTTCCTTGTTCCTTCATTGATGATAAAGTTCATTTAAAAATATCTTGAGATCATGTCCAGATCTGATTTTCTTTCTTCTTGACCTTGCGTGCTGCTATCAGTTAAGCTGCACGTGAAATGGAAAAGTCAGTCAGGCTGAACTTGTTGGCATCAGCAAAATAGTTCTGATTCAAGGAAGTCTTTTATTTTGCATACCCTCACTGACTTGCGATAGTAAACTCAAATGTATAGGTGTTACAGGGAGTTTAGTTGCAGGAAAAATAGCAATAATGATCTCTTTCACTGGTTTACTCTACAAGAATAATTGGAATCACTTGAAATGTCGGTAACATTTGAGATTAGGGATTGCAAGTGCCATTTATAAACATTATAATAGAATATGAAATATTAATAGAGTGATGTAAATGTGATCATTACCAACTTCTATTGTACATTAATTGTATGTTAGAAACTAAACCCCAGTCCTGACCTTAACCTGAACCATAGCAATGTTTTATAACTGTTCATAATGTTATCAGTAACATGTATATCTCAGTATTTAAGACGGCTATAAATTACATAAATGGTAATTTACTAAAATGTCATTAATAGTGAGAAAGTCACTATGCAATAACTGCTAATTTCACTTTTTGTATATAAAGGTGAGATATATGTTCCACACTTTGTAAATGACAGAAATCAAGTACCTGTACAGTATATACTGTATTTAAACAGATGAATCAAAGGGAGTTAGACTTGTGTACAAAATTATCAATAGACCATACTATGCATGGTCACCTAACATGAAAGCATAATAATTAAATTAAAACCTAAAAGCTGTTTTAGAGCCAGATAAATTAATTTAATGTGTCACTTGGAACGGCATGAATGTTTCCAGTTTGTTTAGTGGGGATTATTTTGGGTCCACCTTCATAAAACACCTTCATAAGACATAGAACTTCAGCCTTCAAGATGTGGGATGACACTTCGTGTCATATTCTACATAGCTTTGTGTTTTGTTGCTATGGAAACTATTCGGTTCACATTTTTCAAGGCTTTTCTACAGTTGCGTGGAATGGTCTATGAATAGTGCCACTACTATCTGCAGACGAGCAGGGGCTTTGTAAAAAGACACTGGTGAGGTTAAATAGATTTTTAGTGTCTCTTGGGGTGTGTTGCATAACCAGGCCTTGCTATTTGCTGACAGGGAGGGAACAAAGGAGTACAATATTGCTGAAGGCTGTTCTTTAAGATGTTAATCATCTGTCTATCTTAAAACTTCTGGATCTTTTTTGTTTAATGCTGTGCATTGCAAAAAATCAAATCCTTAATACTTGCAGCTTTAAAAACAGAGTAGGTGAGAGTAAGCAGAGAAATGAATAACAGTATTGAACTGTAAAAAAGTTCATTCTTCTTATCCTTCACAATTTATTTGAATGTTATGGGATTTTTAAAAACCTTTTCTCAATAGAAATAAAATAACTAGAACAAAGCACCCAGGGGACTCACTCATAGTGCTATCCCAAACCAAGTGATGCATGCATTTTCCTCATCCTAATTACTCTGAGCTTACAAGTGAGAATTGATTAGGAGTTGCTAACTCCGCCATGTACTGTAGCTTATTGCTGTTTTAGAACATGGAGCCTGATGTGGTGTAACAAAGAACTGAACATTTGAGCTATATGGTTTTTTTTTATGGTGGATTTGAAAAACAAATGAACATTTTGAAATATTTATATTAAAATCACATACGCTTTCATATTCATTTTGGGCCCACAGAGACAATACTGTAGTCTTTGTTTTCCAGAACATGTCTTTCAGTCTCTCTCTGGACTATGAGTGTAGTGGTGAATGGGCTTAATACACATTTAAATGCTCTTCATGCACAGTGTAAGAGAAGGCATTACATGACAGCACAGTGATTTGAAGAAACAAGTTTTTAATTATGCAAAAAAATGAATCTACTGTTTTCAAAGACCTGCACCACTCTACAGGAAAAAGTGTTTAAGCTACATACACTAAGTATCAAGGCCTTTGAGCTTAATCTTACTATGCTGTGAATTCTGAATCTTCACTAAATATAAATATTCTAAATAATATACTGTATGTAAATATATTGCAGTGCTGTAGAACTATGGGAAGAATTTTATTTTTCAAAACAAAGAATAGAAGGAATAATTGAGACCAAAGATATATTGGATTATACAGCATCCAGGTATTGCATTTGTCTGAACTTTTTCTAACCAAGCAAACTAAACTCCATTAAAAAGATGCATTTATGTTTGTGTAAATGAGACCCTGACCCATTTTTGGAGTGACTTAATCATCAAGCTGGAGTATTCAAGGTTTGAAATATTGAGTGAGACATAGCAACTTCATTGTCTTTTCAGCATCAAAAGGTTTGGGTTCAGAATTTTCAGCCTGTATACAGCTTAGACAAAATACAGTATTGTTTGCCAAATGTGGGCATTTGTAGTTTCACATTTCCTTTGAATCCTTTTATTTTTTTCTCCAGCTAGAAAAGCACTATCATTCATATATCAGATGTTAGTTACTGTATAACAATCCACTTTTCTGTACATTGTTCTTGAGCTGGAGCTATTATCGGTTGCTATGATTTGATGTTATATGAATACTGGCCTCACAGAGTGTTTCGCAAAAACTGACATTTCTCTTTATTGCTATGACCTTGAAGTGATAATCTTCCCTGTTCTGGTAGTAAACATTATAGATTTGTTTGTGCATGTAAAAGGACTCACAACACGTAAAGCAGGTGTATAATATGGTACATACTAGTGCAACTCGCTTAACTATTATTAATTTTCTCTGAATTATTTAAATGAAGAGTGGTGGCATAATAGCTGGCTTCTGGAAAATGAAATGTAAACTGGAGGAAAGCATTGTAGGTGTTGCCATGGTAATGCATGCAATTCCAGCATTGGTTCATAATATTAAAATAAATCCTTGAAATAGGTTTTCTTTGTCTGCTAACATTTACAAAAAACATTTATCAGGGATGATATAATATTGCAGAGCTCACAAAGCCTTTGATCGGTGGACATCTTAGATCTACATTAATGATTTGAGTGAGATTTAAACATACTGTAGCATAAAAAATTCACTTTTAAATCCTCTGCCAGCCAAGGCAATATTTCAGCTGCTTTGTGAATAACAGAAACTGTTCTGTTTTTCTTTTTCTGTAGGAAATAAATCCCAGGATAGTGGGATTGCCGAGATGGAGGAGCTTCCAGTGCCACAGAACATCAAAATAAGCAACATCACATGTGACTCCTTCAAGATATCCTGGGATATGGATCCCAAATCCAGGGACCGTATCACACACTACTTCATTGACCTAAACAAGAAAGAGAACAAGAACTCAAACAAGTTCAAACATAAGGTATTCTTTGACATGACTGTGCTGAAATGTGGCACAGTGTCAGTACATTTTCACTCTTGGTCTTCTGTAGAAGGTGAAGCAAATTGATTTGTCCCATTGCGGTTTCTGGAAATATTTTATCCTTCTCCTTCAGCTGTCAATGTTATCAGTTTTAAATTACTCACTGAGTTAAGTATACTTTTCTGGCAAACTGAAACACATCCTTGCAAAGCTTGCAGACGTACTGTGTAGTCCTTGGTATAAATAGAAGCTCAAGGCTTCTGTGTCCAGGAGTTTGAGAGATTCAGTAAGAATCAATCAATAGGACTGTAATGTAGGAGCCTTGACTTTCCCAGTGGAAACTTCAGAAGAGATTGACACAGGCAGCACAGGTGTTTAACGACGATAGTGTCTACACTGTTAAATGTACTAAAAATCACCATTTTTTTGCGGTATTTCTGTTTGCATGCTCTTTGTCATAGGATGTTCCCACAAAACTTGTGGCCAAAGCCGTTCCTCTTCCCATGACTGTCAGAGGGCACTGGTTCCTGAGTCCTCGCACGGAATACACGGTCGCCGTGCAGACAGCGTCCAAGCAGAGCGATGGGGACTACGCTGTTTCGGAGTGGAGCGAAATCATAGAGTTCTGCACTGCGGGTGAGTCTGGTAGTTATGTGAAGTCTAGTAGATATGTAGATCAGGAAAACAGTAGAATATTCACAATCTTTAGTGATCGCTGTTGTACTTCCTCTCACATGCTAAAATAATACTAAATAAATACAATTCCTGTTTTTCAGATTACTCGACAGTGCATCTTACACAGTTGTTAGAGAAAGCTGAAGTGATTGCTGGCAGAATGCTGAAATTTTCAGTGTTCTATCGCAACCAGCATAAAGAATACTTTGATCAAGCCAGGTATGTGCTGCTGTGCTTTTCTTTTTATAGTTTCGGGATTTCCATGATTCATTAAGGTGTTTACTTGGTGTCCCCTTGTTCATGTGGGTTTTCTCCTGGGGCTCCAATTTCCTCATGTAATCCAAAGACTTGCTAGCTGGGTAAATTGGCATCTTTAAATTGAGTGGAGTTGTACTGGCGTACTGTACAGAGAGTAGCTGCATCGTGAATGTAAGAATGACTGGATGTCACATTATTGGAATGTCTAAAGAAATAGGTTTATCTTCAATATTTAAGTTACATGGCAAGCTGTTTTATTTATTTTTTTTAAATGGCAGATATTTCATTTATAATGTGAGCATTTAAAGCTGAAGACTTCCTGTGTTCTCCCATCTTTTATTGGTATTTATATCTTCCAATGAAGATATAATTTGTGAAACTGACTACAAGGGTGGCTTAGCAATTATAGTAAGCGAACACAATCTTTGTAGCATTACCACCTTTGTAGCATTAGAGAGTGAATTTTGATACAGTTACTGTATGTATTTGTGTGGCTTTTTCAAAAGCTGTTAAACCATTCTAGTGTATCAATACATGACCATGTTGTTAATTTGTGACTTCAATAGTTAAAGGCGTAAGGGTTTAAAATAAAAACATTTAATGAATTAAAGCTGAGTTGTGATGGGCAGCTTTGCAAATGATGTATTTTTATGAACTTTCAATAGAAGCAATTTGACAATAATGAAGCAATAATGATCTCTCTGCTAAAATGGAGATCTTCTGTCTGCTGCCTGACTCACCTTGTTAAAAGAATGGTTTTCATTCGGTAACATATTCCTGGTGGGGGTTGCTGGAAGCACAGAGCGCATGACAATATTCTCACACCCCAGCGAAGACAGCAATCCATCACAGGCCACAAAGGAGCATTGTAGAGACAGCAGTGAACCCAGTCGGCATGTCTTTGGAAGGTGGGAGGAAACCCATGTGAAGATGCGCACTCTGTACATAAAGCACCCACATCCTGGGCTTTCGAGTTGTGAGGCAGCTCTGCTGACCCCCAAGACCACCATGCTGCTGTATTCTGTAATCTGTGCAATAAATTATTTTCCCAGGACATAAGACATGGAACACTGGAGCTTATTGCCCTGCTCATAATAATTATCCTGATTTATAAAATGAGGAACGGATGGTTTTTGGAGTTGGAAGTGACTGAAGCAAGACTGCTTTTATAGTTTTGACCTTAGTTCTCACCTTAGGTATCTCTCTAGAAACAAGAAAGTCAGACAATGCATTATTTTTATTAATAGAACGAACTAATTCAATGCATTATTTGTAATCTGAACATTTTTCCATTGGAAGTACTGTTCTGGGATTCTGTCATGTCCAATACACATCTTTCCTATCTTGCATATCTTGATTAAACTTAATGAACACTGTACACATGTGTCTTAAAAATATTACACACAACCACTCTTGAGATACTAATAGGATTTGGTCTATAATGAATTGCTTTTTCATTAGCTCCTTGTGTTAATTAAACATTTTCACCTTTTTAAAGATCAGAAAATACATTAGTGCCATCTTGTGGTCTAGAAGGTGCGCTTCTTAAACAGTAGAAAAAAGTGTTTTGAAAATTCCCAATGAAAAAGCAACTTGCAATGTAAAAACCTTTTAGTGCATCTCACTGGATGATAATAATAATCTGCAACTTTATTATTCAGTAAATTCTAGTTAAACATTCAAAAAACAAAATGCCTAAAATTCAAAAGTCCAGGTAGGAAACAACACTAATCAGTTAAGAAATTTGACTCAGGCAGTATGGCATTTTTTTCTCCCAAAATTACAGTTGGGCTGAACAATAATCTTGGCATTATTAGATGTTTGTACTTTTTTAATTGTATTATATACCGAGCATTAAAAGTAACTTAGCACTTACAACTGTAACAGATTCTCAAAGCTATCAGAAAAATGACAAAACAATTAGAGCAGGTTCACTGACATTCTGTTGAATAGACATGACATTAGTAAATTAATGCTATCACTTACCAGTTCTCATCAATATAGAAGGTCTGTCTCTGGCCCGAGGTCATTACTTCTGACCTGGCTTTAGGGAATTTTTAACAGACACCTGTTGTTGTACGTGACATCTCAGAAATAACTCAAAGGCATGGATACCTTCATCAGGAATAGCCACTGGGCCATTAGTGGAATGGTTACTCATGAATGGTGCCTACTTTTAAAGTCACAGTATGTTAGCATGTGTAGCCATTGTTGGAAACAATACAATCTGTATTGCAGCAGGTTGCTGATGTAGTTTTGTGGAGTTCTGTACTATTCCTCCTGTATAGCCTGAGCAAGCATTAGCCTGTTCACTGGTCTCGAAGGCCTAGATGCCACTTGGGCTTCCAACAAGGCATAACTCATTCTCACCTCGCAAGTAAGCCACTGTTACAGCATGAAGACAAGCATTGGTTGTCCTGCTGGAATACCTTCATGTCAGGAAGGGCAACATGTGAGGTCACAGGAGCAGGGCTCTGCGTCATTTGCATCATGTGGACATTTATAGTGACGTTTCTTTTGGTGTTCAGTATACACGTATACACGCTCAGTATACAGTAAACAAAAGATCATCTTTTCATGTTCAGATCATGTTCAGTATTTCTACAAATGTCAGTGTTATTTCAGTTTTTTCTTAACTAATCTTTTCTCTTTTCAGAGACATGCAGAACAATAAGATGCTACCATCAGTGAAGGATAACAGTGGCAGTCATGGATCCCCCATCAGTGGAAAACTGGAGGGCATCTTCTTCAGCTGCAACACTGAGTTCAACACTGGGAAACCGCCACAAGACTCACCGTACGGAAGATACCGGTTTGAGATCCAGGCCGAATGCCTTTTTAATCAAAAGACTAACCTCTACTTTGGGGACTTTTACTGCATGTACACCGCCTACCACTATGTCATCCTGGTCCTGGCCCCTGCTGGGTCTGTGGGCGACGAGTTCTGCAAACAGCGCCTGCCTGCGCTGAACATCGCAGACAACAAATTCCTGACCTGCACCGAGGAGGAGGGCCGGCTGGTGTTCCACCACGCGCAGGATGTCATATTGGAGGTGATTTACACCGACCCCGTCGACCTTTCTCTGGGAACAGTCACTGAGATCAGTGGCCACCACCTAATGAGTTTGTCCACGGTAAACGCAAAGAAAGATCCCAGCTGCAAAACCTGCAACATCAGTGTTGGACGCTAACCTGTACCGCTGTGCAAACCCACACAGATCGTCTAACCCCTTTAATGTTCCATCTCACCTTGTTCAGACTCTTCAGAAGCATGCAGATGCAGCTTTGTACCAAACAGCAGTTGTTTCTTTTGAGGGTTACTTTTTTCTATCCTGAGTAGATTTGTTCGTGTTTCTGTTTTTTTTTTTGGGAGGTATTTGTGAAGTCGCTGCCAAATCAGACATTAACAAAGCTTCTTTACCCCCCTCCTGGCTGTGATGCTTAACAGACCATTTCTCCAGTTTTAGAGCTGCAATGTATTGTTTTGCCAAAGATAACAAAAACCGATTGAAACCGCTGTAGAAAAGCAATGGTAACAGCTTCTAAATGGCATTTTAAATGCATATTAATTTTATCTTGTGATTAAAATTAATTACTGGGTAATTTAAAAGAGCATGATAGGATGTACTTGCGGCATGAATTTAATATTGAAAAAACTAGAAATGTCAGCACTTCCAACTTGTTGTTCAACAGTGTTACATGTTATTTATTATAGTTAACAGAAACCATATACTGTGTTTAAACATAATAAATGTGATAGAAAAAATATTTATTTTACTGTTGTATAAAAATTTTACAAACCAGAAGTGCACAATATCAAGGATTCCAACCATAGCAATCAATGCAGTTTGGGAAAACAATTTTCAAGCTGATGGAAAAACAAATAGGAAATTGCAGCCATCAGTTGCACTAAGCTAAAAAGATCAAGCTATCTTACATGATACCATTTTAATCAGAAAGCTTAAGACTGTTAATTTGTTATTAATGTATGGGGCATAGCAAGCTTTATATAAAATATCTACCACATCTGATCATTAAATCACAACATTTGTAAGATCTTTAAATGATTCACATGCATATACACTTTACAACAGTGTAAAGGTTGTTTGTAATCCATCAAAATATTTCCATCAGCAGATTTTAGATTGTTTTTTAACAATCACCAGAATTGCACTTAACAGAAAGCATCATTTGAGCATAAACTACTATATACCTATAATAGCTATAGTAATTTTCACTTTTCACAGAACAAAATATTACAGTGAAGAAAATATTGCAGTGAAAAATGAAAAAAAAAACCACAACTGTTACCATATTGCAGATACATTCCCAAAACTGAAACAGAACTTAAAAACATTTTTTGGATGCAACATAGTACTCTAAAAATGCATTATGCAGACTAATATTTTGTATTGGATTTATCCTATATAATTAACCCAAGGTCTTGAGGATGTTTCAGAAAGAGATGCCCTTCTTTGCTCCTCTTTAACAAACTCTTAATGCCTTATCTTTATTGCCATTTTTCATTATTTTTACAAGGATGTCCAAGCTTCCCAAAACTTAAGTGACATAGTGACATTTTATGTTTTTAAATTTCTGAGCTTAATAGCTGTGAATTAGAGGTACTAAATGTAATAAGTAATGTTTTGGTCTTCTGAACAGATACTAGGTCTGACATGCTTTTCTGAACTAAATGCAGTTTTTTGAAGTAATGGACAAAGGTGGAAATATATTACTGTGATTTTTAGAAGCAACAAATGTTTGCAGACAAGTGTTCAAATGAACTGGATCCCCATCCCTTTTTATGTTAGTGAAATTGTCCATTCTAGTTTCAAGATTACAGAAAATGTAAAATGCTAATGAGAACAAAGAAAGATGCATATTATTTTGGCTTTGGTTTAAAAAAAGAGCAATAATATGTTCCCCCTTCAGTAAAAATAAAGTGCCATATTTTAGCATAGAAACAAATACCACTCTTGTGAACAAACGTCAGTTCTGTTTCAAATGTTATTTCCATGTTTTCAAAATAAACTATTTTAGGAGCTACATTAGCTACATAAGTAGTCATAGTGCATGTTGCAGCTTTTTCACAAACGACGAGAGGCATTTGAAATGTCCGTTGCTAAGCAACAGTTGAATATGTTGCCATCTTTTCATTTTGTCAACCAGGGTGATTATTAGTAAAGTGCATCGTAGTGTCTGTAGGGCACAAACAAGTTCAATAGAAAACATCTTTCAATGCTAATGTCTTAACAGGTCTTCAAAATAAAAAAAGGTAATTCATCCCTCAAATAGTCTTTGAAGCTTCTTGTTTGCTGAGGAGAACTTCCAACAATCTGAGTTTAGCTTTGATATTCTTATATTCGTAATATTCTTCAGCCATTGGAATGCGGTCCTCCTTTTGGGCAGCCCTACCAGAGGAAAAGAAAACACAAGACACGCATCACATAATATTACTCCCTAATTCAGTTTTTTTGTCTAAATGTCTTATGTATTAATTGGAATAGTTTTACTGTTTTAAATAATTTGAATAGCATTTATCAGTACAAATCTTTTATCTATGTGCCCCTAAGTGTGTATTAAGCATTGTGTGTGCATGGGAACTGTGAAATGATTTAGCTACAAAGCTGAATTTAAAAAAATATAGATGTCAGAAATCCAAAAGTAACACTATTAAAACACACCAAAAATGTCTAGAAGAGAGCGCATTTTCTTACCTCCCCATTTGTTTAAAAAACTGGTCTTCAAATTCTCGTAAAGCTCTGCGAAGCCTATGTTTCTCTGCTCTTGTTTCCCGGAGGTACTCTAGTAGCTCAGGCCTGGAGGGGTTTAAAATTACACACAAAAAAGGCATGACAATTATTATACATGATTTATGCTCTGTACAAGTTATGCAACACAAATCAATTAGTCTAGAGCTCATACTTAGTCTGTTGCCTACCTGAAGACCACAGTCTGAATAAAACATTGAAAAAATGTTACAAGCAGTAGTTGATACTACCAAAAATCATTGAAAGCACTGAAAAAATTGGATGTATAAATGGTAATGCTGGAAAATGTAGATGTGTTGAAATGTGGAATTAACTGGGGGTTGTACTATAGCTCTTCTAGCTGTTCTAGGGACAGCTTGAGGATTTTTGTGAGTTTTACATAAACATAAAAACGTTTACTACAGCATTTTTACATCTGGAGCATCTGGAGGAAGATGCTTTTTGTAGCATTCCAGCATGGTTTAAATTTCTTTCCAAAATATGGTTTCGGCAAAAGACCAAGCAAGATTACACATGACTGGGATTCTTGAAATCGCTAGATTTGGGATATATTACAGTGAAGAAAATATTGCAGTGAAAAATGGAAAAAAAAAACACAACTGATATAGGGATGCATGAGCAGAAAGTGAGTAATGTGAAATCTCGTGCTCTTATACAGAAGCTACAGTCGCACTGTCTCTGTTTACAGCAAGTCATAGTATAACGTTTCAAGACTCAGGGGCAGAATCTTACTTGGAAGCTTCATGCAAATTGGACATAGTGATGGCTGGCTGTCTGACTGCTTTCACTTCATCCAAAGGTGACACGAAGGCAGTCTCATTGTCTTCGTCTTGCGGACACAGAGACTCATCGGTGGAGATCTGACAGAGCGCTCTGGATGGTGGAGCAGGACTGTGCGGCATGTTGTCGTCATCAGAATCTTCTTCCTCCTGCACACAGCAAAACTATCCTTACAAGCTGCTTTGAGAGCTAAAATGTTCAAATTCTAACTCTACTATAGGATATCATAGGATTTTAAGTGGTATTAATGTTTTGCACTAGGCAGTTCATTAAAATATGCGGTACCCTAACAATATTGAAAGGACTAATATGAATGTGCTTAAACAAGTTATGCAAGTGACAGTGGTGATCTCCTAACTGTTGCCAAAGCAAGTGAAAGTGTAGCCTCACCTGAGGTTTAAAAAATATCCTTGTATTAAAATATTTTGGCATGGTTTGCACTCAGCTGTCAGCCTGCCTAACCAACAATTAAAGTAAACCCTAACAGAGAACCGCATAAGTCTGTAATTTAAAAAAAATAGAAAAGGGACAAATGAAATATGACATACCTAATCTGAAATAAACTAGTTAGATTAACAGGTCACTCTCAAATGTTTCTAGCTGTTAGTATTTTAGAATGTCCATACAGGTCAGACTCCATTTCCGACAGAGCTGTCAGGTCATGTCAATGAATGCAGACTCTAGGACTGAAACTCACAATAGTAGTTATGGATGGCGTCGAGCAGAGCAGCTGTTTGATGGCTCTGTATCTGTCATAGAGGGGCTTCATGAGATTTCTTTCCTGCTTGGTAACCTGAAAAAAACCAAAATGCTTGCTATTCAATTTAATGGTACCAGATGATTTATATAACTTTTCTAAGAATAGAAAGGGGGACTTACCGGCCGTCCGTGCAGACTCTCAAAATACAGCAAACATTTCTGAAGAGTAACTTTCTCCAGGGCCATTTGGTTTTGATTCATTTCCTGTAAAGTATATAAATGTAGGCAACTGTGAAGGTTTCCTTTAAAAGTACTTTATTCAGCCTCTTCCCTGTGTAAAGCTGTTATCATCAAGAGCAGCTGCGACTGGCACAGCTACTTTTTAACACAAAGAAGTCCAGAGAAGTCAAATCCAGCAGTTGCCATTGCACATTTACCTTCATGTTTTCGGGAAGGCCCAGTGTGCTCCGTTTTTCTTTCAGCCTCTTCAGGAGCGTGTCGACAGTCTCCTCTAGACATGGTTTATGCTGCTGCTCTGCTCCTCCCTGTGGGTCGCTGCTCACTCTGCTCATCTCTGTCTGTGAATCAGTCCTCCGTTCTCTCAGCTCCACGACAGACTGTTTTAGTTTGAGGTCTTCGGGGCAAGAAAAACAAAGAGTAAGTGGTAACAAATAGTTATATGTAGTTATGTGTTGCGAGCAGCCATATCACCCTGCTACTCACAACTGACAACCCACTGAAGCTCAGCAGGTGTGAGCCTGGTTGGTACCTGGATGAGAGACCCCCTGGGAAAAACTAAGATTGCTGCTGGAAGAGGTGTTAGTGGGGCCGGCTGTGGGCGCTCATCCTGCAGTCTGTATGGGTCCTAATGCCCCAGTATAGTGACGGGGACACTATACTGTATAAAGGTGCCATTCTTCGGATGAGACATGAACTCAAGGTCCCACTGAGAGCTGATGGGTGGTGAGTGTAACGGCACACTATGGCTGCCATTGCATCATCCATTTGCAACATTGGTGATAGTGGAGAGAATACCTGTAAAGTGCTTTGAGTGTCCGGAAAAGCCCTACATAAGCATATGAAATTATTATAATAATTATATATATATATCACTTACAAGTGAAATATTATCCTGGAACTGCAATTTAATATAATATTGTCATGTATTTTGATGGAATTTTCTTAACGGCCTGTTATATTGCTATTACTGTGATTTCAGATTTGTAACCATTATTGTACTGCGCTGCACTGTGGTTGTTAGGAGGAGTCGGGATTCTTCACTATAGAAGAGATGAGCTGGTGTCAGCAGTATTTGCCTTTGTTCCTCCCACCAGGAGAGGGCAATATTTGTTTGGTGGGAAGGAATAAAAGTCTGTTCCCTGCTCCCGGTTGGATTATCTACAGCTGTCGGTGTGTTACGACAGTTACTGATCTAATTGACTTTATTTCCTGGCTAAATAAAGTAGCACACACAATGCTGATTAATCCATCATACGTTTTTTTAAAAACTCCATCCATCCACACAGGTGGTAAATTCAGTTAAGATTTTTACCTTAACGTATAGGTATCATTAAAAATAGAAGAACGAAGATACCGCAAAGGCAGGAAATCCCTTCGTTCCATACATATCTAAAGTTAAGAATAAATACCTTTTAGCTGTTTGCGAGACTTAGCCAGGTCATCCATAAGCTTAAACATCTCTGGATTTGCTGTTTTGTCGTTATGTGAAGGCTGGAAGAGAAAAACACATTGAAGATCTGACATCTGAAGACTAACAGATCTGTATATACATCAGTACAAAGAGGTTTCAGTGAAATATGGCACAGTTCTTTAGGGTACATGGAGAGTTCAAAGTGAAAGTGTTTGCTTTAAGGTCACAGGTCAAATATTGGTAAATATTTAGATCAAATTTCAGATCTAGTCCTGAAAGGTCATATTATCATTTGATGTGAATTCCATTTGGACTCTTACTGAGATAATGGAATATATTACTGATTTATATGGCCGAATTTTACCAGCTCAAAAGTAGTAAGTCATCAAAATAGACACATAAAGCCTGCTAGACACTTTGAGTTTTCTTTTGTATGATTCAGCTTGTAACCATAGCCTTCATCCATATATATATAAATGTAATAATATAGGATGCTTTAAACACATACAGTTTATAGCACTGATAGATGCTATCCTGAGCTAAGCTACTGTATATTTAGAGGACCCTTAATTCCATACAGAACCACAGTGCTTATGTTCTGCATAGTATTGCAGTTATGTTGTGTTTCTTTTATTCTCTTTCAACATTGAAAAAAAACTTTTACTTGTTCCTTTGCAGCCTATGCATGCTGACGCAGCTACATGAGTGTCAATGACAGAAGTGTATGTTTGTCCATCAATATCGCAACTGGCCAGTGAAATCTTAAGATGTAAACTGTCCATTTCAGGAAATGTGGTGTAGCCAGCAGCCATATTACCCTGCAGCTCACAATTGGCAACCCACTGAAACTCAGCAGGTGTGAGCTTGGTCAGTACCTGGAAGGGAGACCTGCTGGGAAAAACTAAGATTGCTGCTGGAAGAGGTGTTAGTGGGGCCAGCAGGGGGCACTCACCCTGCGGTCCATGTGGGTCCTAATGCCCCAGTATAGTGACAGGGAAACTATATTATAAAAAGGCACCGTCCTTTGGATGAGACGTAAAACTGAGGTCCTGACTCTGTGGTCATTTAAAATCCGAGGGCATTTCTCGAAAATAGTAGGGGTGTAGCCCCGGTGTCCTGGCCAAATTTTCCATTGGCCCTTACCAATCATAGCCTCTTAATAATCCCCATCTATAAATTGGCTTCATGGCTGTGTTCTGCTCCCCACCAATAGCTGGTGTATGGTGAGTGTACTGGCACACTATGGCTGCCGTCACATCATCCAGGTGGATGTTGCACATTGGTGGTGGTGGAGGGGAGTCCCCATTACCTGTAAAGCGCTTTGAGTGGAGTGTGCAGAAAAGCACTATATAAGTGTAAGCAGTTATTATTATTAATTCACTCACTGGACATGAGAACAAGAAGTCTTGTTTTTCCAGGGATGGAATCTTTCAAAGGTCTTCAGGGATAGTACCGATTTGTCTAGGCTGTTAGTCTACTTACCCTGTATTTCCGCTCCTGCTCAAACCTCTCCTCAAACTTCTTGATCTTCTTCTTCAGGTTCTGGATGTGTTTGGTTAGCAGTGCCACTGACAGTGGCTCTTTGGAGCCCTCCGAGGGAACAGTCCTGACAATGCCTCTGGACCTGTAGGTGCACAACGCAAACCCAGGGGGAGCTAGAATATCAAGGGGTTGGGCAGCGGGGCCCCACAACATAACATCCACGCTGACAGATTCTATGATAAATTAACCCAATACCTGATCATGTCCACAATACGCTTTACTGTGTCATAAACCCCACGATCACGGCAACAATACAGTTGTTTAAGCAAACTTAAGAAAAAGTAATTGTCTTAGTCATTTTTCACTATATTGAATTTTTTCGGGCATCCATAAACAGAACCCATAAATTGCGTGTGAAGAGGAGAGGAGGAGGGGAGGAGAGGTAGGGGAGACCTGCGTCTCCAGGAGAAGCAGAAGAAAACTGCAGTGCGCTGAGGCATCTGGAGAGGGTTCTCTCAGCTGCCTTCATCTTTTTGAAAGGGACTTTCCTCACGAGAAACCCCTCCCCCTCCTAAAAGGGTGACGTGATTCGCAAGAAGAATTACTGCAGCTGCCAGAAGCTATCCCTCCTGAATGCAACCCCAGCAGTGTGGCAGTTCAATGGTGTCTCAAGAAGGGAAGACAAGGAAATCTCATTCACAGCTGGAATCTAGTACCAGGTAGCTCAGAATTACTGCTGAATTTGGGTATATTGCACAACTGTATTAGACACTTTGTATTTCCCTTCGGTCTCATAGGTTGTATTAGTAAATACTGAAATTCTTCAAAGGAAAATTGTCAGCTGTCGATTCTATATTCAAAGGTGAACTTTCAAATTTCAATTATATTTTCAAGAAAGGGTAATAGTGCCTGTTTTTACTCAGAAAGCTTACAAATGTTATCTTTTTTAAGTTGCTAATTCATTGTTGGACATGTTTTATCAGTCTTTTATTATATCTGCTTTAACTTTTCCCCTAATCTTCTGGTTTGGGAACCTGAATCTGTGGGGTAATAAACAGGATTCCTGTCTAACTATGTCAGAAAGTCATTGGTGCTGATTTTTCAACCCTCCCCCACGTCTATCAGTTACAAGTCTTGCGTAAAGTATATTCCATCCTAGATGACCTTTCACACCCCTTGTTTAATTAGTTCCAACTACTCCCCTCAGAGCACAGATACAGATTTCCCAGTTTAAAATCAAACAGGTTCAAGTTCTCTTTTATACTTGTGGCCGTAACCGTGCTTAACAGTTGATTCTCTTGGTCATGTCTGTATGTATTTCTTGTTTGCATGTTTTTCTTTGTATTGTCTGCTGCTGTAAAACAAATTGCCCCTCAGGGATAATAAAGACACGGTCTCTCTCTCGCACACACTTTGAGAAATCCCAGTGGAACTTACATGATGAACTGCTGGGCGGAAGGAGGCGATGGGGCTGACTCGGGGTCACTGTTGAACCTCTGGCTTTGGCTGAAGCTGGGGCAGCGCGGGGAGGGCAGGGGGCTGTCACCGTCGGTGATGTAATGGAGGAGCCGGCTGGGCCCTGGGGCCTGCTGGGATTCGGCAGAGCTCTCCCTCTCGTGGTGCAGGATCCTCAGCGCCGGCACAGGCTCTGCCAAAAGAAAACCCAGCGCTCTGCAGTCACCAGGCCGGCAGGGCTCTGACTCACTAGAAAGATGAGGGACATGAACAGCCATTTGCCTAGCAGGATTGGGAGCTATAACGGACAGCAAAACAGGCTCAGGCTTCCCATGTGTTCACCACTTCCAGCCTATGTAGCATGTTTGTTATCAACATTCTCTAGAAATAGCAGCAGGGGGGTGGCGTGGTTGCACAGTGGTGAGTATTGCTGCCTGGCAGAGCTGGGGCCCTGGGTTCCATTCTGGACCTGGTGTGCTACCTGTGTAGAGTTTGTATGTCCCTCCTGTGTTTGTGGGTATCCTCTGGGTGCTCTTGTTTCCTCCCATAGCTCAAAGACGTGCTGGTGGGCTGATGGGCTTCTGGAAAAACTGGTCTTGGTGTGTGTGTGTGTGTGTGTGTGTGTGTGTGTGTGTGTGTCCTGCGATGGCCTGGCGTCCTGTCCAGAGTGTATCCTGCCTTGAGAAGGCTGTTTGTCGGGAAAGGCTCTGGCTCCCCCACAACCCTGTACTGAATAAAATTAGATTAGAAAATGGATGGGTGGTACTACTATTGTAACATAAAAATTACAATTCTATCAAATTAAATTAAAGTGAAGATCTTTTGACATCGTTATTGTGATACCAAAACTAGACATCCTCCACCCAGCTTAAGATCTGGTTGGGTTATCTTTTCATTGAGTGTTTAACACTGCTAACAACACCATGCTTAGCTGAAAGTTTTCATTAGTAATTCCACTTGTCATTGTGAATCATTGTCGGTGCACCTGAAAGTGAAGGTGTCCTCTGTGCAGGAACCTGCTTAAGTGATTTGTATCACTTAAAAATATCATGTTTTGTGGAAATATGTGTGTTGTGTTTAGGATTCAGCAAGACTAATTCTACCTAATTTAAATTATGCATACAGATTGATACTTCACAATGGAGAGAGTAGTGTTTTTCAAAGTTTCCATAATTTAAATATTCTACTTTCATAAGAAAACCAGTATTGTCTTTTCTACATTCAACGATGCATATAAAGCATTGTTGGGGCTAATGGGTTAATATCTGCCTAGTTCTCTACCACAGTCTGCGAGGCCAGTCTACCAGTAAATTGCCAACTCAATCACTGTGGAACCAAAACTCAGAAATGTCAAACTGATGAGTCTTTATTTTTAAAGATCGATGGGAATAAGGACAAATTAACTATCATCAACCTACAGAGAACTCCTGCTAAAGAGGAGACACATCACTAGCTAGCTCAAGCAGACGTGTTTCCCACTCAGTAGTCGTGCTGCACGTTAATACAAATTGGCCATTCCATTGAGTGCACACACTAATTATATTTAAAATATGAAGCTTGCGAGAGATCTGTGTTATTCAGATTACTATGAGAGCAAAACCTACAGTAATTACTAAAATAAATAATGTTACTGAAAAACATAACATCAGAAACTGGAAAGATTATTATTGTCTATTGACATTAATAACGATGCAGAAGGTGAAGAATCATTTTGTACATGAAGCTGCTTGTCATTATTTTACAAGCTGACTTAGGACTGCGGTTAATTTATGGGTGATACATACTGGTACAACAGAACTGAGAGCATGGTGTAACAGATTTATGTGTGTGAATCTGCATGAGACCATACCTCTGCACAATAATAATGTCTATCCATTGTCCATACATATCTTAATGCAGTTTTTTACACCAAGCATCTTGTGTAATATGTGTAGGTGAATGGGCAGCTTATATAAGAATGTCATGCCCATGCGTCTAATGTGACATAAGAAATAGGACAAGCCTTGGGGGAAAAAAAGAGTGTTTGTGGGAGCACATACACACACCTTTTGCACAAGAAACGATCAAAGCAGTCATTCTTTCATCTGTATAATCTCATATGAAAGCATGGCAGGCTCTCACTATGGGATTTCTAATGCTATGAACTGAAGTCTGGTTCAGACAACAGAGAAAATTCACCAGTGCTCTCTTGAAAAAATAAATGTAGTTAAAGCAGGAACAAAACTGCAGGAGACCTCAGGTATTTGAATGTGCACAAAGTGATATGACCTATAATGCCCACAGGAATAATAAAAAAAGAACCATGAAGGGTTAATGAAGGATGAGAAAACATTAATATGGAAACACACAATAATGACACAACATCAGCATATTGCAGGACCTAATGGAAGCATTAATGTATGCTTTTTTCAAATGAAGTGCTATCGTGGAAACCTGAATGCTGTTCACAGGAAATGGAAAATAGTCCAGGCAGTGCTGGCTCAGGTTCCTACCTCCAGGGTTACTGCTCTCCTCTGCCTGCACACTGCGCGCTGTTGGGAGGCTTTGCTCTTTGTTGCCCTGTATCTGGGCACTGTCCTCCTGTGATGGCACAAATGCAGAGCATAGATCAACGTCCAAGGCCTGTAATTTAAGGAAAGAGCTCTGCAAACAGAAGCAGAACATAATGTCTTAAAAAAACTGAAGCTCTCCTCCTTGGTGTGAGCAGCGTGCTCTGCGGTTATTTCTTACTCCAGCGCTTCTCTAGATCACAGTCCACTCTCGGGGCTCCAGTCCTGGGGTTGCTCAGCAGCAGCCAAGCTCGTCTTCCATGAATCCTCCGTGCCAGTTATTTATGTGTCACCGTTTGTGGCTCTGCAGCTGCATGAATCCTGATTCATAAGGATTATTCATGGAACAGTAGCACTGGTGGGAATGGGGGGTTTTCGTCAGCAAGTCTGTGATAATTTCCTTTTGCCCGGTTTATCCGAGGAGGGGGGTGGGTGTGGGTGGATAGGTGTGGGGAAGAATAAATAGGGAGGTGGGGGTGGGGAGGGGGTTTTTCGTGTTTAGCCTTACTGTACAGTCAACGGTTTTTCCCGCACTGTGGAGGGAGTATTTCATTCAGTCTATTGACATCATGATCTGGTGAGAATTTTGCCCCTCCCAGCTGTTCCCATTCATAAAATAAGAGCAAGAAGAGAATACAGTCTTTCGCTGCAATACGCAAACAGGAAGCACACTTACGCCTTGGTCCGTGCTCTGACTGCAGGCGCCCTTTCCTTCAGAAGCAGGGAAAAAACTGGCTTGTGCTGCAGGCTGTAGCTGGATCCCCCCCATGAGACCACCTTTCATCAGCTCGTTCAGCTGGGATGGCAAAACAAAACAAACGGCGTCATCTGCTGTGTTCAGAATGTCGTTTCGTCCCTTGCTGTCGATTTAGGCCATTCGGCTGCCCGTGCTGCGCCTCCTAGCACTTGCTTTTAATCACGCTCAAGCCTTGTCTCTCTGGGGTGTGAGAAGCTCCCTCGAGGAGGCGGCTGTCAAGCCCCTGCTGCAGCGATGCTCACCTCACTACGCCGAGAGAAACGATTCCGAGTTGATCGGCTGCCCTCCCCAACCCCGCTCCCTCTCCGCAGCCCCCCTCCTCAATCCTCCCCAGCCTCTGGGGATGGCCAGATTGCGCGGTAATACGCAGGAAAACGCACACTGCTGCACATCTCAAAGCTCACAGAGCAGCTGATGCAGGCAAGAACGAGGCTCTTTTGAATGTAGAATGAGACTTTCCCATTGCACATATAGACACACGTGCATATTAAATGAAGGGACATCTGTTATGTGTCAATTCTGAGTGCCTGTAGCTGTGCAAGCTTTTGTACAATCAAAGCAGAGGTGGTATTTGAAGGAAGAAGACTATTTTCATATACTGTGTAAGTATAAAATGGATTGTTAGACAATGGCTTGTATTTGAACCCAAAAGCTTTAAAAAATATAGCCATATTATTCATTAATTGCCAGCAAGCTGCTTATTCCTGGCAAGAATGGCAGCAAACCTGAGTCTATGCTGGAAGCCCAGGGCACCAGACAGGACCACACCCTGGATAGGCAGCCAGTCCTTCACCGGACAAACACAGACACAGGGACAATTTGGTGACACTAAGAAGAAAATAACTGAACTGCAATACTTTCATGTTCACTTCAAAGGTCCTGTTGAATTTTGCAAATGAGTTGATTTTCACTTTTATTTAAAAAAAATCCAGCCAGTCCAGCGAAATAAAGAAATATGTTAATCATTCAAAGTCTGTGCCTGGTCTGCTTTTACATGCGCACTTCAGGTCAAAGTATAATACTAAGAAAAAAAAGAACAAAAAGCACTGAATCAGATTGTAATGTATTTTTCTCAGCTCAGCCTTGCAAGCTGGGGCTTAAAAATTGAATGTCATGTACAGCATTTACGTCAGTATCCACCTAACAGGCAACCTACTCTCAGGGCTATCTGACATTTGGCATATAAAATCACCTTGGTAACATCACAGATTCTGGAAGAGCAGTGAGCTTTGGAAAGCATCAATATAACTGCTAAAGAAAAAACAAGTGAGAGACAGGATAATGGTTGCTCTTGCCTTCTCCATCAGAGATTCTTCTCACACCCAGAAATACAGCACAGAGGAGACGTGTTTTTATTCGTGATTATAAACAAGTAGCTTTAAGAGCTGTGGCACAGAACTTTGCACTGAGAGGCTCCAAAGAAGCTGAAAAAAAATACTGCTGTGCAGGTTATAGTACTTTATCATCACAAACCAAAGGGGGTGCACTTATAACAATGGTCTTATACATGATATTCGTAAAATAAAAAATAAATATTAGCAACAATAGTTATTCCATGCTTACTGTATATCCAAGGTTAAAATTATCTTTAAGAACAAGGTGCAGAGGAATTAGAGGAAGAACAAAGATACTGCAAAGACAGAAAGGACAGATTCCACCTACGTGTGACCATTGATATTGGCCAGGTGGCGCTATTTCACATTCTCCACAAAGGGGACTGACACAGTCAGACAGTGCTGTTTACAATTGCAAACAAATACAATACATTGTGAATTAAAGATCAATTAAGAGCAGGTCAGTTACTGTAGCACATTAAGCGGTCATAACTGAGTACAAACTTCTACCATTGCTGTTGTTATTGCACACAAACAACGACAAATTAAAATCTGAGACCTCAAAATTGTCCATCAATCCTTTGTGTGCTAGAACGTATGAAGTTCAGACATTTTCCTGATTTCTATTAGATGCCTTTTTGACATTTTATCCAATAAAATGCCTGGGAACTATATATGTGTCGCAGAGTGGTGTAGTACAATAACATGGGGAAAGCTGCTTATAAATAGAAATAAAGTAATTACAGTTACAAATGACTTACTTTAAATCAATAAAACGAAATATTATACATAGTAACTATACACACTCTATGTAGATCTCTGTAACTGATGACTTTTTAAAATTATATTCCTTGATAATCTAGTTTTAGATTTATTTTACAAATAAATTCCTTATACAAGTAACTTTACTTTTCAAGTAACATTTTGCGTGAGAGGCCAACATTTAGTATGAGATTAGCTATGTTTCTATGAAATGAAATAGATGCTGTTAAATGTTACATCGCAACGCATTCATGTGCTGTATATTGAAAGCCTGATGAGTTTACATACCTCTTTGGATTCCTGAAGGCCATTTTCGCCCTCCTTCAGTATGTGTACCTTACTGTAGACAAAGTAGATGAAGATGTGATTTACTGCTTTCTTGAAAACATTTAACTGTTTAGCTAGCTTACTAATCACACTGCTAGAAATGTGAAGTCACTATACTGTATCTGATCTTGATTAACTGTGCAGCATGATTATTATCACTCAAATAAATAAAGCACTATAAGAACATCAATAGCATTTCTTTGAGTTGCATTTTAACATTTATTTGTCTCTCCAAACAGGTACCAAACAGGTCTTGGCCTTAATTATCTTAACTCTGAAGTGCGGCACACTTACTCAACTGGCATATATGCAACATGTCAGACATGTCAACCACCAGAAAGGTGTTTTTTTTAAATATACATATCTGGGAACTATTTATATCCACCTTAAATCTGCCCTGTATGTCACTTATCAACCCCTCTTGGCAGTAAGAGGAAGTGTTGTGTTTACACACCAGACACACACTGCTCTGTGTCAAGAGTTATTTAGCACCCCATTTCCAACTGTTAATTTATACCACAGGGTGTGACATTTACAGAAGTACAATAACTTCTCTTATTTTTTGTTTCTACTCTTTTAACCAATTACCTCAATTTGTTGCTGTAGTTAACCCATGGAATGCAGAATTATATTAAAGTACAGTAACTTTTTTAAGACTCGAAAACAGTTATTTTCTCCAGCTTTGTTTGCTATGCAAAAATATTTTCCTATAAATCCACATCATGCACACACATACAGAAATTCATAAAGGCTAGTGTCTGTCTTAAACACAAGGTTAAATGCATCATTTACTGTACATGAATATATACTGTATATACAGTATATTGCATAATACTGTATATACAGCCCCCACTCCCTCCCATCATACTATGATCTCTCTTAACTTCTTCCTGTACCCACAAGGACTGTACTCCAACACCACTACACACACGACAACCGAATGTAAACCGAAATTGTACTGTCCCTTCGATAGCTCAGTAAAACTGTATTAGTTGTAGTATTTATTAATCGCTATACTATTTTTGCACTGTTCCCTGAATTACGTTGCACTGTTTTTGTCCTGTTGTATTCTTTTCTCTGTTTGCGGATTTTGCACAGTTTTGATTACATGTTGTTATTACAAGTTACTGTTATTGTGTTACTGTCTATTGTCCTATCTTCTGTTCTATTTATATACTGCACCTGAGTGACTGCTGAGAAACACTTTTCACTATACTATGCACCTGTGTAAGTATAATGACAATAAAGTTGAATTGAATTGAATAAATGATCTAATTATGTCACCGTTCACAAACAGCTTGTTTATCTAGAGTATATTTGAAAGCTTTTCCAGCTTTACTGTGTTCTATATTCACGTTACATTAGATTGATATGTGTTCTTGCCAACATGTTATTAGCAATAGGTCTTTATCCATCAATTTTTTAACCTGGCTTATAATACGGCATCATGCAGGAGCCGGAGCCTACCCCGACAAGGAACAGGCTCCAGGATGGGACACCGTCACAGGGTACACTCAATCACAAACATGCACACACTCAGACCTTGGCCAGTTTTCCCAGTGGCCAATTAACCAGCATGTCTTTAGACCATGGAAGGAAAACAGAGCACCTGGAGAAAAACCCATGGGAACAAGGAGAGAGCATACAAACTCCACACAGACAGCACCCCAGGTCTAGAATTGAACCCGGGGCTCCAGCACTGTGAGGCAGCGATTCTTACCATTGCGTCCAGTAAGTCTTTGCCCAGTGTAAAAAAATAAACCTTAAAAACAGAGTTTTCATGAGCCTACCTATTTTGAAAATCCTGTGCTTCTTTATAACCAAGACCATTGTGGACCTCATTGTTTCCTGCACCTGTTTCCTTTTGATATGTAGACAGGTTTGGCATTACATTGTCCATGTTCTGAAACAACAAAAAGCACTTCTCTCTCTGACAAAGGGATGATGATATTTTATGTTTTAGAAATTGAGGGTTTCTTATTTTTAACAAACACATTTGAATGCATTTGATGCATTGTCAGGATAAATCCATTCTGATTTCAGATGAATCTGAAATCAGAATGGATGAACTCCATTTCAATCAGTTTGCAAATCAATTAGTAACTTTACAGAAGTCATTACACACATTTCAAAATAGACTATCTACATCATTCATTATACTACAGGAACATACTACTTAATAAACTTTTAATAAATAGTCTCCGGAATATCGATTTCAAACTATCTTTCTGTGTTTCAACAGCTGCATCTTAATTTCCAAAAACAGGATAACTGCATATACAATCCTAAGTTAACTTTCTGTAAACTGTATATACAGTACATTGTATGTTGTTCACTTTAGCAGCACATGCACTAAACAAGCATACTTCTCTTCCTCTGTTGAAAAAAAAAACACTATTTTAATGAAGGTGCCAAAGTCTGAAAACCTACATAGGATTTATGAATGACCATTATAGCTCTGAATTATCTATGCAGATAGAATAGTTAGTACTCAAAGATAAGATTTTTTATTAATGTTATTATCATGAAAAAAGGCTGAAATACTGAAAAGCAAAAATCTTTAAAACGACTGTTCAATGAGAAGTTTACCAGGCTCTCTTCTTTAGGATCCCAGTTTGTTATAATCATAGCTTTAGTGAAAAACAATAACAATATTTTTTTTTTTAAATCCAAGACTTCAAAAATGTCTTACTTCAGCAGAGAAGATTTTTAATAGTTGTTGCAGTGTCAGGCATAGGTTAAAATAAGACTCCAATGTTAGTGGCCCAGATCTATTATGAGACTCATGCTTAGCTGGAAAAAAATGTTTTGCAACGCTTCTCCTTTCCCATAAGTTTCAGGGCTGGTCTTTCCCTTGGGTATAAAAGAGTGGCTTAACTCCCAGGCCTTCAACTCAGATTAAAGAGTCAGATTACACAGTCAGTCCAATCAGAGCATTATGACAGAGGGCAAGGAGGAGTGATAGCCATTATTAAAACAAGCCACAAAAAATGAGATGAAAACCAACAGGTTAACGCAGGTTAGCTTGTGTCAGAAGCAAATCTATGAGCAGCTAGTCCCTCTCTGACTTCTGATAAGGGATCACAATCAGCAAAGACCTTAAAATGTTTACATGTCTTTAAAAGATGTTGCTAATGTCACTGGAAATATAGCATGGTATGGAGTTTTAACTAAGCATGACTCTAAACAGATCATAAAGGTAAGATCACATGTTTCATGTCATTTGTTGTCTGACGCATTGTGAAGCTGGTTGGGTACACAGTGCTTTCTAACTCAGCTTGCATTTGGTCAATGAAAAACATGTCTACTGAAAGTTTGGATATACTTCAGTGACTTTGCCATGAGAATGAAGTTTACTTCCTCAGAAAGGAGGAGAGAACTTAATAACAAACGGACATTTGTGATTACAGCGTTTGTCCATCCTTTAGGCACTCCAAAATGATATGATCAAATCAACAAGGAAGAAGCACCAAAGGAAATCACTGCAGGTCCATGAAACACTAGGAAATTATAGTATATTTGTTTTCAGGATTTGAGTCCATGTGAGCGTTACCAAATTCATTCACATCCTTCATTAACAATCCTAATATTAATGCTATTCTCTTACAAATTGTTGTATTGTTATTTATGCTTATGCTAAAACTAAATCCCCTGAAATCTCTCAATAAGAATCAGTTTCCTTTGACCAGCATTTGGACTGCAGCTGTGATCGCTGAATTGCTCTTACTAAAAGCTAACATCTACTGTAGCTGCCAGAGGTCTAGTTCATTTGCTTTATCAACCACAGTATTTATTTAGACCTGAGATGTTCATGGTAGAATCTATCTAAATTAAAATGCATTTGAATGCATAATTATGCATTTTCCAAAAAAGAAACTTGCCGCTAATAGCTTGGAATATGCTTAACACCAGGAGCTCGCAATTATCTCAGTGTGATAATCAGCATCCCAGTGCTGCCTTGTTCACATTCTTCCTATCATAACTCCTCTCATCAAAGTGTCCAGGATGAAAACACAAATCCAGGGCTGCCTGTGAGCCATAACAATGTCACATGAAGGAAGGCTTGATTGGCTTCAGGTTAAACAGCTGGCACAGAAGCACCTCATGATGTTTATTCTGGATTTAGAATCTGTGGAAAGTCATATTAACTCCATTCAACTCAGATACATAACATTTAAGAGTCTCTTCCCAATGTATCAAGGTCTCTAAAAGTGACCAACTCTTCTTTTCAACAGATAAAGTAATAGTAATTTAATGTTTGAAACTGAAACAGAAACCAAATCCCCTTTCCTTGAGGAGGAACATATCTCTATCTAATGTCAATGTAAGAAAAGTGAATCTAGATTAACCTTTGCAGCAACAGTCTAACACTGTTGTCTAAATACAGTATATGAGGCAGTAGGTGTTATTTTTCCCAATGATCCAAAATTCAACCTGTGTCTTATAATAGTGGTTTGTGAATAATGTATGTACTTTAAAAGAAGCCATTGGGTTAACTGTTAAACCACTGTTACTTTAAAACAGAGGATACTGAAGATCTCATGGCATTGAAATTTACAAGTTTTCAAGAATTCTCAAAATAATTAATAAAATACTTGTTTCAGCACCTGAAACTTGAAAGTCCCAGAAACTACATTTACAGGTGGGATGTCCCTATCAGTCAGAGAACACCTGTATGATGTGGTGACAGCCCCTTTCAAGAGCTTCCTGTTCTGAGGTGCAACATTTAATGTTATCCTAAGCATGTTATTGCTTTTGATAGAGACTAGAAAACTAGAAACTTACCTTGGAGTAGTCCTGCTCTTGATCCAAGATGAGCCCAGTGCTTGATTTCGACCTCTTTGGCTGAAAGTCGTCTTCATGGTGTTTCTCAAGATCGCCCAGAGGTTTCTTCTCTGTGTGTGGCATAGTGTCTTTGGGTAGCTGTTCGCCCTCCTCACTGAAAACGGCGTCACAGGGCAGGTTTTCCTTGTTATGGTCAGCCCTACACATCAGGATATCGATACATGTGAGTTAAAGACATGTGAGAGTTGCCGGATAGATGCTGGAGCCGCAATGTGTTGACAATGTACTGTACAGTCTGGTTACAACTTTCTCTATCCTTCTGTTCTCCCAGAGAACCGCAGGCTTGTATGAGAACAGCATAAGTAACACCTGACAGCACTGCATGGTGAGTCTCGATGGGAGCATCAAAACCAGACCTACGTTATCCTGCCACGGCTGGAGCCTTCCTGCCCTCTCAGCAGACGCCGCCGCTCTCTGGCAGACAGGAGGGCAGCTGAGAGGCCTTGACCGAGCTCGTTGTTCTCCACAGCTTGTCGTCTTCGCTGCTGGTTGGACCTCTCAAGGCTCTCTTCATGCAGCTCCCCGGTGTTTTCCAAACTCCTTGGGAAAACAAAACAAAAGAGGCTCTCCCATAACAGACATGAAATGTTTTGTATGAAAAATGATTTTAAAACTGTACACTGAGATCCACAAATGAAAAACGCTGAATTCTCATTTTTGTATAAAAAAGTCAGAACTGCTTATATATTGTAAGAATGCTTCTTATAACTTCAATAACTCAGAAAGGCTGTCATTTGTGTACAACAATATAGGCTCCATACAGGTCTCTTTGTGCCTGAATAAAATAGAATAAAAAAGTCTATTCTATTTTATTAGATCCGTGTCTTCCACATTTTTCAAAGTTGATGAGTGAACTACATCCAAAGAATAATGACTCAGGTACAAACAATAACTCAAAAGTTAAATTAGAAACAACATTTTTTATGTAGAGAGAAACTAAGCATTTTTTTGCATTTAGGCAAAGGAAAATGTTTGCATTGTGTGCACCCTGAATCTGGCCATGATACATTTTTCTGTGGGTACATAATTCACATTTGGCTCTCTGGGAAAAACTCAGGCCGGTTTAAACCTCCATTATGCTGTCTAATGTATTTTGACATTTGCTGTCCCACCAGACCGAAAGCTCAGCTTCATAATTCATGTACCTTCACTACTGATGGGATTTTCAAGTCCTAATAGGCCAAAAAGGTTTAAAATACTGCGCATCCTTAACTTGAAGAACAAACCTACTATTATGAAAAAAGAAGTATTAGCTGTGTAAAATCAACCACAAAATATTTTTTGTACCAAAACAAACTAAACTAATTTTAGCAGCTACAAATTATAAAAACATTAATGACAGTCACATAATAGAATGCATGTAGTTCATTTGAGATATTGCTGCTCCTTGCCTGAGAAATAAAAGCTAGTAATTCATCTTCTGTGTGAACAGTCCATGAGGATATTAATATCCAAATTTAAGCATACTGTTTCTACTGGCTGAAGATTTCAGATACCTTTGCTTTTACATTCACCACTGAAAAGGGTATGATTTCATTCTAAACACTCATCAAGCTTCAGAAACAGTAATAAGCTTAAATGTAAGCACCATGTAGCATGAAGATTCCTCTGCACACTGAAAATGGATCCTTGCTCAGCGTTGGTGGAGACTAATATAGACTGGAAACTGACCTCTTTGCAGCTAATTATTCAGAAGCATTTCACATGGATGGTGGTTACGATGTTCACATTCTTTATCAAAGTGGTCACAACTAGAGCAAAACATTCCTTCAAGGTCAGAACTGACTTGTCCAATCGTTGTCCCAAGAAAATAGAAGGCAGTTTCTTGAACGTTAAAGCGTATAGGATTATGACTTGTCATTTAAGTTTGTCATAAGGTCAGATTTTAAAACCCCTGCCTTTCAGATTTTCAACTGCTTGTTATCCTTGTCGTGATGCTTCCTTTTCCAACAAGCCTTCACCAAGTCAAAGACATCCCCAACCTCAAGGATTTCAGTTAAAGTGCAGCAGTTATGCACAGTACAGTGTTACATATTAAACCGCAAATACCATCATACATTATATTGTATGTTATCTTAATGTATCTGACGTGTAATATTAATGTGCAATGTGTGTAATATTGATATATCTACCTCAGTGTTACACCACAACTCAGTACTATCATTCTTTCACTGACAGCTAATCCACAGCATTACAGTAAATTCAAAATAATAAAGAGACAGGAATTATGATAAGCATCGCAACTCAAAAGAAGGACAAAACTTTTGAAAATAAGCGTTCAGTATTTTTGTGACTGTTTTTAGGCTGTTACTTACTGTTTTGAATCCACACCACTATTAGAGATGCCTTGTATACTGAAACACAGAAGACAAGAAAACATTGGATTTGCGAATCAAAAATAACAGCAGTAACATAAACTCTGATGAGAAAGGTCTTGGCAGTCCTAGCATTTGTATCGGTCGTATCCATGCACATGTTTATAGTGGACTGTTGACTAGTCCAGTGTTGTTGTCAGCTCCTCAGGCAGAAAACTCACTACAGAGCGCTTTCAACTGAAATGGGCAATGTACCAGCTCAGCCAAAGATTCCAGAAAACAGAGCTATGTAGGTCAATGGTGTCCACTTCAATAAGCACTGTTAAATGAAACCCTCCCCTCTTAAAAATTCCAGAGGACTTGCAGAAGTTGAACCATCAAAACAAAATAGTATGGGAAATATGTCTGAGTTCACAAAAGTAAAAAAAGTAATCTGCTATTTTTGGCATTAAAATGAATTTGCATTTAATTAATATTATACTGTCAGAATTGTTTTTATTTTCATAAAGTCTATATTGCAAGTACTGGAATAATGATGCTCAAAGAAGAAAGTCTATAAAAGCCTGTTCTGTAGGTGAAACTCAAATCAATAGAAAATGGGGCATGAAAATGAGGAAAAGATAATTCACTTTGATAAAGAACAAATAAAATTTCAATTCTTATGTCTCAGAAGATATTTTAGAACTCTGAGCTCCAAAGGTTCACCATTATCTCTCATCCCTACACAGGGATCTAAGACAGACTGCACAAACCATATTACGAGCTACAATGTCTGAATCTGTAAGGTTCAATTCTAATACTCCATTCATTTATTATGTGACCTTAAAAAAATAATTAAGATCACTATATATATGTCTCTCTTTGTCTAATAATAGCAACTGTGAGGACAAATTAGTAGCCTACTTTTTGTTTATTACCAATACTTTTTCAAATATGGTATAATAGTTTTCAGGGCTCCAGGCACTACAAAATTCAAAATGCGTGGTATTAACGAACTGCATTTTCTACGTAGTTACTGCACTGAAATCTGATGCCTTAGGGTTAAGGTTACTAAGTTTATTACTGTCAAATTCTAATTACAAAACAAGAAGATGAATACAAAGGGAAAGTATATTAATACTTTATGGGTCATGTAAGCCAAAATGCCCCTAACTTGTGAGGAATGAGCTAAGTAGGCAGTTGCAAGGGAATGTAGGGAGCGGAGCTAGAAAAGATGCTGTGCAAGAAGTGCAAGACTACAAACTGACCTTCTCATAAAGTTTATCAACTCCATATTGCATCCTCTGGATCTAGAAATTGTACAGACATAGACTTAAACCATCAGGATGCATCTGGCTTTGGATTTAAGGTAATCTAGCAGAGCAAAGCCTAGTGCTCCTCAATGAAATAATGATCTGGACATCAGAGTACTTGTTAAAAGGACTGCAGTTTTAGGGCCTGTTGCCGTTGATATAGTACATCTCTCTGCTTTCCTTTGATATTAATAGAGAGACTTGCTGCAAGGATTCTGAAGCATTTTTTCTGAAGCATTTTTACATCATTTTTTGCTATTAATAGTGAGGATAGACCTGAATACGGTTATATTCCTACAAGACCCTTAATGAATAGCTTCGCACCATCTCCTTTTTATCTTTACGTACTGGCAGCCCAAAACCCCAAACATAAATCATTACATTTTACCATTGTACATAGTGTTAAAATTATTTTTAAACCAAAAATGAACAAATCTGAAATTTTATGAAGAAAGCAATCCTTCTTGTAAACCTTTTTTCTGACACTGAAATCAAGCCTTTTTTTCAAAATCCATCCGATAAACCATTCAGACTGATTACAGGTTACATAACATATACAAAAATAACATCTACGCTTCCTAAATGCAGAGCAAATAAAAGATGTCATCAGCAATGATAACTGATGTTCGGTGTTTACATAAATACAATACAACTCTGCAGCAGCCGGGAGTTTCTTTCATAGTGTCCCTAAATTTAATCCTAAACTGTTTCATAGCAGCACCATTTTTATTTATAGCAGTAAAAGCAAAGTTCGGATAAGGACTATGACACTTCTTTCTGCTAAGTCCCAGCTTGCTTCACATGTTTGCCATAGTGGGAAATCCCAACCTTAAATAGTCATAGCTGTAAAGGAGGAAAAGAGTGTTGATAAGCCCTTCTCTTCCCCAGGCTGTGTGTCCTTCTCATAAGGAAGAACTGCTGACATCCTGATGGAATCAGTTTACAAGCTTCCTCTCTGAAGTCTGCTGTTGATCACTGAGTGCATGTGAACCCGCAGTCACATGCAACCTTTCTGGAGCGCAATAATAAGTGAAAATAACTTCTGCTAGCACCAAAAAACATTAGTCAAAAACATGCTCACATCCCTGAACTTTAAATATAGAAACTTTTGCTTCAGAGCAGATTGTGTTTCATCTGAATGACTTCTTGATTTAGATAAAAACTCGTACAAAACACACAGTAGATATTTTGTACCATGTTTCTGTACTGTGAAGTCAAATGACCAAATATTGTTGGCTTTAGAAAAACAACTGTGAAAATATAAAAACACATTTAGAAATCACAAGATAGCCATAATTGATAAATGCTGCTTGTTAATGTTTCTCTTCTTGTGAAGTTGTCCCTTCTGTTTTTGTGTTTTTATTCTGTACGTCTTTAACTTGTCTTCAGTGCAGGCTCCCTCAAGATCGGTGCCAGTATCATGAAGAGTCCATTTTTACCCAGACAGTTTTTTAAAAATAGCTGGTACAAGCTTTGGCTTAGGAAAGACATGTTCTGAGACAAACTGATATGATAAATCTCACAAATCTTTCAGTTTTACTAAATAAAACAAACTGGTAGGATACCCGTGAGAGTGGCCATTTCAGTTAGACACATCAAATTAAATTCTAAGATGAAAGCGCAGTACAGTCCAGATCAAGATTGTTTGTGCAATCCACTGGATGAAGGCAAATATTAACTCAGGACTTCATGATTACAGGAACCAAAATACACTTTTACCACGTGTCTATACAAAACTACGTTTTGCTTGGCACCAGTACAACAACCAATTACATATCTGAGTTTGATTCAAATGCAAACAGAAACCCTGGGAAAAAATGAAAGAAAGAATTTCTGAAATAAATTATATAAAATTTCTATGATATAAATATAACAGAAATTATAGTAAGGATCCACACATTTAACAAGAATTACTTTAACTCAGGAATGAGCTATTTAAAGGTACTCTGAAACATTTCTGCAACAATCATTCAGTCTATTTCTAATTTATGTTAACATGCAGCATTGAGAAAACTATAGTGAAAATGGTAGCATTATAAATTTCTGCATAGCATCCAAATATACAGAGTACACTTTTTTACAAGTATCAAAGGAAACAACAAAGAGTATTAGGATTAGTGTTTCAGTAAACCATTGTCTCTGAGTCTGGAAGGATGTGGAATTAAATTTTTACACTATACTGTATGTGTAAATCCAGCACTATCTTCATGTCTACATAGAGTTTCTCCAGGTGCTCTAGGTATCTCCCAGGGTTCACTGGTGTTGCTACTGTATATTGTTCCAGTATGCTTGTGTGTGTGACTTGTAAATGGGACCGGTTTTTCTTCCCAAGTGTAGTCGTGTCTTGTGCTTCCTGGATAAGCCTGGTGAATATTACAAGGGTTTAAGCACGATAGGAGCCTACTATAACTGTTTCTGCTTTTACAATTGCAGATGCTGCTGACAGCATTACATACACATTCATACTGCAGTTCTAAAGTCTTTTCATGTTTCACATAAAGTATCATCACAAAGTTATATGCATCTCAAACATAAAATAGAAAGCTACTATATATTTTTCCCTTTGGACGATACCCAGACAGGTTCATTTTCCCCATAAGAAAATGCTTGCCGAAAGAAGTTCCAGAAGAAAAGAAAAGGTCAAGAATTCAAATGCTGACCCAGTCATATTTTTTTCCTTTTCTTCTAACCACACATGCTGACCTGGTAAGAAAATGAAAACGACCTTTTGTGGATTTACATCCAAACACAAGAAAAAAGCCTTGCCAAGCCAGCTGAAACCTGAATGAACAGCTTTGTAATTAATTTCCAAAGGAAAGTTGTGTCCGAACCAAACGGATTTCCTGCAGGAGTCCATCACGCTGTGGGTCCATATTTTTTTAATACAAAACAACAGAAGGGTTTGTGCTGTTTCTGCACGTACAAGTTACACAAGAAAACATTCTGTATTTGCACGGGTGATAACTAATTCTTAATCATAAGCTATTTTCCAAGATTAAGGAAATTTCTTGGAGAAACAGAAGCAGATAGATCTAGATTTTCCCAGTTCATTAAGGATGAATATACCAATTTAACATGACAAAATTCATTGCACATGTGTCACAGAAACATCATCCACTCTCATTTTCAGTCTTTAGCTCACTCATTTAACTAGACCGCATTCTGGATAAATTCAATTTTATTTTATACAATGTACATTGATAGATTGATGACAAAGCTTAGTGTGTGCATCAAGAGAATCCACATTTTTTTTCACAACCTATTTGCTCACTTAATTCTTATACCCAAATCACCTAAGAAAGCTGGCAAATCCTCTTCTTTCTGTTTCTTCATGGACAAAATTGTGAGGTTAAGGCCAGACTGCAACCAATTAATAGACTATGAAGTAAATCATAATGAAATCAGGACACCAATTGAGTTTTAACATAATCAATAGTTAGACCCATCAAGGTCTCAGGATCAGTTCATAGATGAAAAGGTTTATTTATAAATTAAGTTATTATCAATTAGTTAAGAAATGCACAGCATTATAATCAAATTATTATAGAATCAGTTATTTTGTTCTTTGCAGTACATACTAGCATCAATCTGAAAGAAAAACTAATTTAATAGGGAATGATCAACCTAAACACTATTATGATTTTTAAGTTATAAGTTATTGATTAAAACAAAATTATGATTAAGTTTATTTATATTTCGAACAGCATAATGTTTTATATTTACAGTTTCAAATCAATTATTGGCAAC